ATGCTGCATCTGTAGAAAGGCCATATTTTGCTAATCATAGGCACATTAGTCGAACAGCTACATTCGATGGGTACCAAGTTTATTGAACACAGTGGAAATAGAAGGACAGGGCCACTTTTTCTGGGAGTATGACACATTTTTCGACACAGCCATGCCTGATTGGCTTTTGATGGATAGTCACTCTTGTTTTGCATAAACCACAGTTGTTGAATTTTTCACATAAGTGTTAATTTTAGGAAATCTCCCTTTCACAGTAGGGATAAATTGGGTATTGCCATTTGCTAAATTGGATGGTCGGTCAGTGTGACACTCTGGAAGTGGTCATGCAGTAGGTGAGGGGACCACTTTGCTGCATGATCCTCGAAGGTGGTGTCATGTGTCCTACGGCAAATATTGGAAATGGTATAAATCTGACATTACTCATTTTGTCCATACCTTGAAAGAGGATTCAAAGTTGATGAAAACATGACACGGTTGCTGAATTCGTGACAACATCTGTAGGCCATATGCTGCATCTGTAGAAATGCCATATTTTGCAAATCATAGGCACATTAGTCGAACAGCTACATTCGATGGGTTCCAAGTTTATTGAACACAGTGGAAATAGAAGGACAGGGCCACTTTTTCTGGGAGTATGACACATTTTTCGACACAGCCATGCCTGATTGGCTTTTGATGGATAGTCACTCTTGTTTTGCATAAACCACAGTTGTTGAATTTTTCACATAAGTGTTAATTTTAGGAAATCTCCCTTTCACAGTAAGGATAAATTGGGTATTGCCATTTGCTAAATTGGATGGTCAGTCAGTGTGACACTCTGGAAGTGGTCATGCAGTAGGTGAGGGGACCACTTTGCTGCATGATCCTCGAAGGTGGTGTCATGTGTCCTACGGCAAATATTGGAAATGGTATAAATCTGACATTACTCATTTTGTCCATACCTTGAAAGAGGATTCAAAGTTGATGAAAACATGACACGGTTGCTGAATTCGTGACAACATCTGTAGGCCATATGCTGCATCTGTAGAAATGCCATATTTTGCTAATCATAGGCACATTAGTCGAACAGCTACATTCGATGGGTACCAAGTTTATTGAACACAGTGGAAATAGAAGGACAGGGCCACTTTTTCTGGGAGTATGACACATTTTTCGACACAGCCATGCCTGATTGGCTTTTGATGGATAGTCACTCTTGTTTTGCATAAACCACAGTTGTTGAATTTTTCACATAAGTGTTAATTTTAGGAAATCTCCCTTTCACAGTAGGGATAAATTGGGTATTGCCATTTGCTAAATTGGATGGTCGGTCAGTGTGACACTCTGGAAGTGGTCATGCAGTAGGTGAGGGGACCACTTTGCTGCATGATCCTCGAAGGTGGTGTCATGTGTCCTACGGCAAATATTGGAAATGGTATAAATCTGACATTACTCATTTTGTCCATACCTTGAAAGAGGATTCAAAGTTGATGAAAACATGACACGGTTGCTGAATTCGTGACAACATCTGTAGGCCATATGCTGCATCTGTAGAAATGCCATATTTTGC